CTTCTGGCAGCACAGAGAGCACTGCCATATGGCCATTAAAATGACATATTTTCTAAAAAGATTTTGTTTATTTATTTGAGAGAGAGAGAGAGTGAATGAGCATGAGCGGTGGGGAAGGGGCAGAGGGAGAAGGAGAAGCAGACTCCCCACTGAGCAGGGAGCCTGACACGGGGCTTGATCCCAGGACCCTGGGATCATGACCTGAGCCGAAGGCAGACGCTTAACCAACTGAGCCACCCAGGTAACCCTAAAATGACCTTCTAAGGTGAGGATGACAGAAGACAGCTGGGTTCCTAGTAGCAAGACAGCCATGAGTAACTGACAGAGGCTACTGAGAACTCAGTGCTGAGACACATTCTTTGGTTTGACAAAGAAAGCTATAATCCATGAGTGATGTCATGCTTTAGTGTGAGTGAATAGCCCAAGTGCATCACATTTGTCCTCCCTGGTTTAGGGACCCTCTGGTCCAAGAGCTGACCAGACTGCGGTCCTTGAATTAGCCCGCCACTGGCACCACCCTAGCCTACTGCCAGAATGTTCACAGCTGATCTGCTCCAGGTGGACGCATCCCCACCTCACTTGCACAAGAATGGCAGTCATACGATATAAACGAGCACATCTATGCTTTAGGAGAAATGTGGGGCTGTGGGACATCTTATTTCTAAAATGGAATTGGAATTGGACACTGTCAAATATTCATAGAGAGCACAAGCTTTTAAGCACTATGTGAAATAGAAAACCCGTACAACATTAATTCACTGCAAGAGCAGGCGGCCCTCCTCAAGCAGCCCCTGTATGCACCAGCACAACCCACATCACACCTCTCAGACCACAAGAGGGTCCCAGCAAAGGCAGCTTCATCACTCTCTGACTGGACTCCTTGCCAGCACAGCAAGTTTTCAGCTAGGGTGGCCATTAATAAGGCAGTTAACACGCAATATGAAATACCTAAAACAAAACAGAAAAACAATGAAGTCTCTGGTTATCGACCGGTTAATGCACCTTGGTGTTTGAAAAACAGGAAAAAAAAAATGACAAAAATGCAGGCAATTTGAATCTAAATTCTGAACAATAGAAAGATAAATGCAGCTATGGAAGAAAGCTCCTGGTCTAGGGTCTGGCTTTGTTCTAAGGCCTCAGTGGCTTCGGAATTGACATTTTTGACAGAAACAGACCAAGAGCTAATTACTGTGAGTTTACGTCCACTCTAATCTCCCCAGAGAAAGCACTCACAGGTACCCTTAAATCACAGCTGCTGAGAGTCCAGCTCAGTTATCTGGACTAATTAAAAATTTTTCTAACTGGCCAGCGGTCCTCCTATTCTAATGTCTTCTGTGTCAGCTCACAAAAATGGAAATGGGGCAGCTTTAAAGTAAGGCAGCTTTACCTATTTCCTGACTTGCATATTGTTCTCAAGCTCTTGCTACTGAAATCTTAGAAATCTTACTTTGCCTGGGTGGGTCGCAACGATCGTGATGTTCGTCCACTATACTTGACTGCTAATGGGGGATCCCTGCCCCAGGCCTGCTGCAAAGAGCAGGGCTGGGCTGGGGACAGACCAAGTAACATGAACTGATGGTTCACATGCCAACAGTTTGCTCAGGTCAGTGCCCAGCAGAGTATAAGTTCAGAAGATTCCAGTCTGGCACAGAATAGCACAGAATACGATGGTGAACCTGCAGCTCCCCACTTAAAAAAAAAAGAAAAAAAAGTTTGCTATTCAAAGATAATAGATCTTGAAGTTTGCCAACAGAAATTCTTATTTTTCTATTCTCTTTACTCTGTATTTGAAATCTTTCATCCACACCTTAATTCATATAAGGAAAAATCTAAGTTCTATTAAACAGGCATGGTGTTGATTTTCCATTACTAAAGATGCTCTTTTTGAGGCCGTGATGGCCATGTAAAGGTCAGGGCATCACCCAGTGATTACTGAATTGGGAGCTCCTGCAAATATATGCTTGTCCTTTAGTGCACAGCAGGCTGTGATTCACCCTCACGGGGCCAGCAGAACAACTTATACTGCTCAGAGTTCAAAGCCAAGTCCTTGCTTATTGCTCCAAACAATTTCATTTCTATCAGTTGGTGGTTGTACTTCAGATTTTATGGATCCAATGGGTCTAGTGAAATTTTATTACCCTGCAATACAACAAGAAGAAAAAAGCTCTGGGGGGAAAAATCGATATAATGTTTAAGGTCTTTGTTACCTTTATAACCTCCAGTGTTCTTTTACATATAAACTAATAAATCAACCTTTTAACAGAAGATGCATTCTTCAGTGCTTGCTCAATACTAGGTGCTAAGTCCTATCATAAAAACTATCAAGAAGTAGCTAATGGTTTTGCTACCTGAACAAGCACAGTTAAAGCAGAATCAATAGCAGGACAAGGATATTGTTTGCAGGTGTATTCTCCTACTTAACACATGGTAATCAGTTGTTACCAAATGAAGGTAACAACTTTTAAAACATTAGAGGACTTTCATAAGCTATATTGAGTTTGCCTGATTTGCAAATGCATGTAATTTAAACAGTTCAAACATCAAATTCCTTAGTATTGGCCACGTCTCAGCTGCATGAAATGTACTCATTGTAACTTTACAGTTGAGTCAGCAGAACAGCGAGACAATCTTTCCCCCATCCTTCAAGGGAATGGCTTTTTCTGATGTCAGGATCTTGGAAATATGACTCGAGTAGATTTTCTCTAGTGGATTTTAAGCAGCAGCTATGAAGATGTTAAGTATTAGAGTAAAACTAAAATTTAATTCTTCTACTCATTTCAATGTTTCAATGATGAATATATCTTCTCATAAACCCCTTTGGCCTGGAACACTCTGAGGATTGGTAATCTAAACTCAGAACCTTTTCAACATGAATTAGCATCACGTAGCCAGTTTGAATATTCTGCATTAAATTAAATTAAATGAGAAACAGGTTTGGGAAAGCAGTTCACCTATTTATTATGAACAGAACTTTACAGCTCACTATATAACACAGTAAGTACCATTCAGTGGCTAAGACAAATTGATACAGATTCCATTTCAACCAAGTGCCTAGAAGAAAATACAAGGCTTTCTCTGCCAGAAGAAAATATGATCCAATGAAAAGAGCAAATCTCAATGCTCCTGCTTGTGTAAATGGCCTAGAAGAGGCCACAAGATCCTTAATGTCCAAAATGAAGATGCAAAGTCAAGGGTTATCCCTACTATACTATTAACAAGGTAGCTAATTGTTTACTTAACAGCCACTAATAAATGGAGTTGTTTCTCCAAGCTCCCAAAGGATTGTAGGAGTCCTGCATTTCCACACACAGGCCAAGCATAAAAAGTGGCTTAAGACAAATCCACTTTGGTCACTGAAATAGAAGATGTAAGAGAACAATACATTCATGACAATGTTTCTTTTTCCTCTCTGTGGGTGATCAGCCTCTATAGCATGGTCCTAATAATGAGATTGAGGTTTTGACTTTAAAATATTCTCACTTGTGTTCCAAAGTTCTCTTTAGCCTATTCTGTTATCAAATTTTGATAGAATTACTAGAATGGTAGATGGGGAGGGAGGTGTGGGTACCAATTTTTCTAAGTATGCTTCTGATGTTTTTTTTTTTAAAGTTACTGAACAAATCTGGCCTGATAGTCTAGTGGACAAGAGAGATGAAGAGTAGCTAGATGATGATACAGTTGGATAGGGTCACAAATGGTGCTCATTAATACAAAACTGTTAATTGGGAGAAAACTACCAAATGTCAAATCTCTGAACTTTTACCGGGATCCTGGCATGGTCAATATCTGCACTGGCAACGTGGTTACGGGGCTGAACAAATTCATGAGTAAATGAATCTCATGCCCATAGGCAATACACTAGCTCATGGACACATGACTGAACATATTCTCAACATCTTGAAATGATGAGACAAATCCTATGAAAAGAAAGGGAAAAACATCAATGTTCCACCCAAAGAGTATTCATTTTCTATATAACAAATTACCACAAACTCAGCGGCTTAAGACAACCTAAATTTATTATTTTATAGTCTACAGGTCAAAAGTTTAACAAGGGTGTCACCAGACTAAACTCAAGGTGTCAGCAGACCATCATTCCTTTCTTGAGGCTCTACAGGTGAATTTATTTGTTGCCTTTTCCAGCTTCTGGAGGCCTCCCACATGGCTTGGCTCTTGGCCCTCCTCTTCCATTTTCAAAGCCAGCAACAGTAAGTTAGCACTCCTATCACATCACTCTGACCCCCTCTTCTGCCTTTCTCATCCACTTTTGAGGACCACTGTTATTAAATCGAGCCCATCCAGACAATCTCCCCATCTCCAGGTCCTTAATTGAAACCCACCTGTGAAGTCTCTTATAACAAGTAAGGGGACATATTCACAGGTTCGGGGGAGCAGCAAGTAGACATCTTTGGGGAGAGTCATTATTCTGCCTACCAACGCAAGGTTAGAAAGAAAAAAGCTGCAGAGAAAAGGTGGATGGAAAAGAGAAAAGGCTGGTGGATAACAAAACAAACAAACAAAACAAGTTAACTACTATGTGGTGAGATGGTATCTGGAATATTAAGTTCTGAACATTACATGAAAAAGGAACGATCTTGAACCAGAATGTGTTCCAAAGAGTGACCAGAATGGAGGAGATATTTACCACCAAGGAGTACGAATAACATTTGAAGCAATCCACACTGATTAATTCAGAGAAAAGAAGGTCTGAGTGCAAACGCCACTGATTTCAAGGCTCTGAGGAGCTGTCAGGGGTTGTACTTATTCCTTAACACAAGGGGACAGGTCATCTTTAACAGAATTTAGGGATGTGCAAACCTAAGCTAAAAATAATAACAAAGGAAGCCAAATGAAAAACAAATGGGTAGTCTGGGGCAGTTCAGCTGAAAACTGACATTTTTATCACTCCTTTGAATGTATAAAAGGCTTTCATACATTATTGCATTTGAACTTCTCAACACACCTGAGGGAGAACTAGGACAGAAACCTGGATGAGACAGGGTCCCGGCAGGATCAAGAAGTCCAATGCAGGTGGTTCATACACTCCGATAAAGGGATGATGGACAGAGAGGCAGGCGCAGGTGAAGGGAACTGCAAAGGAACATGGAGATTCTCAGAGACTGCAACAGCAGTTAGGCTGTGTCCTCTTACTTCAAGGCCTGAAGAAGAACTAACTCTATACGGAACCCAGGTAAGAGCCAGAGCTGTTGACAGGGAAGGACACATGCACAACAGGCACCCAGTGCAGTGGGAGAACAGTAAAGGAGTACACTGCGCTCTTTCCTGGGTCCTCTTCCATTGGCCCGACCAACAGGACGCTGGTAAGCAAGAGGCAAAGATGATCCTTTGTGAAGGGGTCAGCCTTCTAGGGCACAGAGTAGGGCAGATAAAGGCAGAGAATAAAGAAGGTACAAGGGAAGATGCTGAACGACATGTGTGGCACTACTGAGCTTCTTTTACAAATGAAGATATCCAGACTTAGTGAGGCAAAATTATTTCCTCAGGGTCTCACAGTCGAAGGCATCTTACAGGGCCAGCACTCAAATCCGGGTGGGTGAGCACAAGTGCTAAGCATTCCCATGACGGGGCACCAGCTCCCTATCAGGGGCGTCCCTCTCTCCCTGACAGTTTGGGAGGAGGGACTGAAGATGTTGCGAGGGGACGCATATTTGCAATAAGGGTTTGGATGCTATGTCGCCGTTTTTCTATACAGAATTCTCTGATTCTGTAATTCCACACTCATCGCTTCCCACACCATCTACCTTAATTTTCCACTTCCTTCCAAACCTAACTGCCCTAAATAGCTTCAAACACAGCAGAAAACACATGTAAATGACAACTATTCAAGATTCTGCAGACTCTCTGGATAAGGCAATGCATTACTCACTCTGTCTTTATAACATCTACCTTTATCTGGCTGCCCTGCCATGCATTAGGGTGGATGGGGAATATTCGGAGGGTTGCACTGAGAAGAGAGGAGATTTCCAAAGCAGTTTTGTTGTTTCAGAAAAATGGGCTCAACAAATGTTTTAGCATATTTAAAATTTACTTGTTAATGAATTTTATGTTCAATAAACAATCCCTAGAACTTGGCAGTAATTATAAAATATCCTTTCCTGTCTCTTTTGCCCAAACCTTCAAAAAAGTGCTTTATCTTGCATAAGATACGGCTCTTAAAAGTTACATGAAAGTACTTCTCAAAGTCCATTTTCCCATCACTTTCAATATATAAACATAGGGTGTTGTCTTTAAACATAAAGTCCCAACGTATAATAAGATCACATTCATAGCAGTGCCAATTCCTAAGTACTCTGCCGAAAGGAAATATTCTGTGTGAGACTAAAACACAAGTCATGAAATATAAATGTAAACTAACTGATTAGGGCAGAAGTGACATCACAAGCAAAATTTTCTGGAGTCTCAGTGCGTAAAACAGATGAAAGTCAGCCTCTCTGGATGAGTAGGAATGGAAGGAATAGAGGGTCACTCATTCAACCTGTCACTGGCCCCTTGTGACAGGTCCTTTGCTTCACAGGTTGAAACCATCATGCCCAGTTTTTCTATTTGGTCGCCTAGCAGTGTGAGTGTAAATAGGAATTGTGTAGCTCCTGTTATCTTGGCAAAATGGTGAGGGTGTCTCTCTAAGAATGTGTGATCCAAAGGGGAGAGAGACATCCTCTCTAACTTCCCAACAGAAGCTTGGTGCGTAAGCATCAGCCTGAGACCTCCACTCTCGCAGATGGCTGATAGACTCATTAACTCCTAACAGAGGGCAGCCTGGTGTGAGAGAGCATGGGAGACACACCCCTGGGACCTCCAGAAGCCTTTACAGGCATAGAGCAGAGAGTTTCAAAATGCTGAGAGGGCAGGTATGTGCAGAATCAGCTGTATTTCCATTGTTCCTATTACTGCTGCCTTCTCTACCATCTGACTGGTAAGATCACGATGCAAGTACCATGAAGCACATGGGACTAAATAAAAGGCCATCTCCTCTCTCTCTTTCAAGATCTTTCCTAGAGAACAATGGAAGCATTGTATGAAACTCCCCGTGGTTGTTCTGACTTTAAGTGGCTTCTGAAGTTTAACATATTAAACTATGTTAGGGAGGTCTTGAATCACAAAGGAGGGAAGGTAGCAAAATTGGGGAGGGGAGCTAAATTTACCAGGGCACTGAGATGTAAACATACAGAGATGCAAATATTTAACACTGCTCCATACCTTGCAAACTCTGCCAGAGTAAAACCTCTCAAATATCCGTGGGAAAAAGTGTACTTTAAACTGATAGTCCAAGATTAAGGGCAACTTCTACTTTGTAATGAAATGACGTCCAAGAAATTATGACTAATATAGGTTTGAAGCAGCATTCAAGGGAACAACCAGACATCATTTTTATTTTGGTTTTGTTTAAAGAGAAGGACATTTCTTCTCAAGTCGATATACCAACTCTGAAAGAGTAGATTTCAGGTTAAATATATCAGTGTTCACTCTCATGAATCATGTACGTTCTCTGAATGCCAATGATAGTGAATAAAGAAAACTCACAGGTCCAAATCAAAAGAAGATGGTTGAAAACTTGGTTTATTCTTTGCATTTTTGCATAATCATCAGACTTTTAGACACTTATACTCAGAACTTACGGAACAAGTATAAAAATGTAGCTGATCCAAAAGTTTTCTTTTTGTTCCAATTGAATTGCCTCTTGAAACTTGCAGGGAAATAACACATAAAGGTAAAGTTTACGGAGTCTAGTTATGTTCTTTGAGGAGTTTAGATAATTACATAGTAGAAAATTGTAACAATCAGGTGAGGTTGATGGTTTAACAAATTGGAAGACCTTTATAAGACAGCTGTGTCTATGACATACAAGAATGAAAGAGAAGGATGCCAGGAGCGAGTCAAGAGAAGAATAGATTTGGGATCAGTAGTCTGGAGTGGGAGTGTGGAATTCATTCCTTCTTAATCATGGGACTGAAGGTAAATCATGTCCCTTTCCCGGCTCAATTATGAATTGGTCCACACTCTACAACTTCCTAAGATTCTAGGAGAATAAAAATGGATATTTAAAACATACGATACTAGACCTCAGTCTAACTACCTGAATCAAAAAATCAATGAGCACTGCGTTAGTAATCAAATGCGAAATAACAATGGGTAACATGTTTTTGACAGTTCCACTTATGCCAAACAACCCAAAGAATCAGCTTCTATTATTTTCTCATCTTACAGAGAAGGAGTCTGAGGCTCAGTTCACGCAGCAAGCAGGTGGAGAAGGCACGATCTTGAAGCAGGCATCGGATCACAGGACCCACATTCCTTCCTAGCCAATAACTGATTCTGCCCTATAAATTGCACTTCCTCAGTCAAATGAACAAATGCTGGCGCAAAGGCCAAGTTTGGGCAACATCCTCTGTGTGGGCTTTGCTTGTTGGTATAAGGAAGGGAACAGTGGTGCAAATCAAGTAAGGTAACTTGGGGATGAAAGGGGAAGTGCAGGAGGCCAAGAAAGCCAGCGGTGGATTCCTAGGGACAGGGCTGGGAACTCAAAATCACCAACCGTTGTATTCATCTTTGTGCCTCTCTTGTCAGGAACTGTGAAGAGGCAGAGTGTTCAGGTTATGTTCTTGGAGTGAAAATGATTCAAATTATTTTCAGTCAAAAGGCAGTGAAGGACATGGTTTTAGGGAGAGAAACCAAATCTGCCAGGGAAAAGTGACAGCCTCCTCTTTCAGTGGAGGGTGAGGATAAGCCCGTGCGGAAGGGGACATGTGAGAAGGGCTTTGAAGGACAGAAAGAATCCAAGTGGGCACGAAATGTCAGAAGGGCCCAGCATGCCTCAAATCCAAACACTGTGTCCTGTATTAAGAGAAACTCTGAAGAAAAGGGACATCTTCATTTTTTTTTTTTTTTAGGACTTTAATTTCACAGGGCTACATCCTGAGTCATCACAAAAAAAAAAACACAAACCCTTACCATCATCAGAAAGACTTTAATAAGAATTTTAGTTTTCATGAGTATGCAATAGAAATGATACAAGAAAGGATACAAATGATACATAGCTTCCAACATAAATTCTAAAGCAGGGGCCAGCAAACTGTTCCTGTGTAGGATCAGACAATAAATCCTTTAATCTTTGTGGAACATACAGTCTCTGTCGCTACTACTCAATTCTGCTTTTGTAGTGAGAAAGCAGCCATAGACAATATATAAAATTTCATTTACAAAAACACGCACATGAGGCCATAGTTTACTGGCCGTGTTCTCAGGTTTCAAATAGCAAGAAGCAACACAAACAACCATTCTCAGAACACTCCCAGAGTGGGATTCAATTTGCTGTTCTATGAATGCTCTTTTGTTTCTAGCTAGAAAAATAAAGTCGACACAAGCACGTCTCTCAAATAACCTTTCCCTCATTTTTTATAACAGCTTTATTGTGATATAATTGATCCAACATAAAATTCACTATGTTAAAGTGTTCGATTCAGGTTTTTTGTATATTCAGAGTTGCGCAACCCTCAGTGCTACTTTTCACTCTTTTGATGATAATCACTCAACAGGTATTTATTGAACATCTACTATCCGCGCATCCCCGTGCAAGGTTATTGTTGCTATTGTTCTTTTGTTTTGCTTTGCTTGTTTTGTTTGGCTTGGTTTGGTAGACGATGTGGCTAGTGAATTGTGGGTAATGGGAGAAATAGAAGATATAGGACCTGTCTGAAGCAGCTTATTACATAAGAAAACCAGCAATGGGAATGCTAAGTTAGGCACAGCGGAGACCACGAACACAGCAACATTTTACTTGCAGAAGAGTGGGGTGGAGGGTCTTAAGAATTTGGTACCTGACCTTGAGAGAGAACTTGGATTTGGATGGATGACATGCAGGGGCAATAAAGAATGGATTCCAGGGAAAAGGCAGAGTGATGAGCAAGAGCCAAGAGATGAGAACAGGGGTGGCCTCTGAAATGAGCTGCTATGCTCCATCTCTAACTGGGGATGTACCCAGAACTGCAAATGCAGGTGTCCAAGGGAGGTGGCCCAAAAGTCGTAGGAGTTCAGGAAAATGAGTTTAGAGCTGATAGAGTTGGCATCAATAG